CTTAATAAATGTATACAAATTTTGGATACAATATTAAACAGAAACAATATATAGTTTTGAACTAAATCGCATAAAGGATAAATAATTCTTTAATCTTTGTGACCTCTTAGCATGTAGTAAATAAATACATAACATGAATTTCCCTGCTAATCATTTGCAGTTCCTATTTCATGAATTTTTACGATATCTCGGCAATCCTGTTTCACAAGTTTTAAAAGGATAAAGTTTCTGGTAATCAAATACAGCACTGCAACTTCTTGACTTTGATACTTCTGCAGGTATTTGCATTTTCCAAGTTTTATGTAAATTAGTAAATTGAGATTTTGACAAAATAGAAAAATAGTTTTTATTATTAATGTAATGAGATGTGTATTTAGCATTGTTATAAATATAATTATTTTTAATGTTGCTCCAATGATTGTAATTATTGTTTCTACAATTAGCATCTTTCTCTTTGTAATTCTTTTCATAAATACAAAATAATTTTGGTTGTTTATTGGTGTAATGCCAGCGCTCATTAACACGCGACACACTTCTAACACATTTTATGTATAGTTCTGTGTTCTTATTTCTGTAATATTGTTGTTGCATATTTAATGAATTTTTGTTGGCTTGGGGCATGTTTGCAGTTCCACTACTGGAAATGTCTTCTTTACACTCATGAAGTATACTTAGATTTTCAGTAGGATGATCAAAAAATACATCTTCTGACTTGACAGTTGAGGAAGTAGAAAGGAAGGAACACTTGATGTGGTTATCTTCAATATTACAAGCAGGCTGTAGGGTGAAAAGATTAGTATCAGCAAATACAGTAGAGAATATATTGCTAAAAGCAATTTTTATATATCTGATTAATCACTTGTTTATTCTATACTGTATTTGTCATATTTAGAATTAGTTTAATTTGAATTAATCAGGTAATAGTAAATGAACATATTATAAAATATAGTGTCACCTTAGATATAATAGGATCTTCTTTTGTCCTTCTCCTTTCTAAATCCCTTCGTCGCTTCTCATCTCTAAGACGTTGCTTTTCTTGTTTCCGTTGTTTTAAATATTCCAAAAGAGGTGTGGTTGTAACTCTTTTTGGTGTATCTATATCAATGAAACCAAATATAAATTTATAAATATAAATTCTATGTAGAATAACACATAATTTTTGCATATCAATGATTAAACAAAAACTTACTATCTGATGGTTGATAAGAGTACTCTGTTTTTGGCTGTGCAATATTAGACTCAGCTTCTTGATTTTTAAGACTTTCTAAGAAACTTATATAATAAGGATCTGATTCTATAGTAC